CAGATCCACCAATTTTCTAACAAGCTTTATTTCACCATCTTTAAATAGAGCAGGGGAAGGCCATCGGTGCCCGGCGTTATGTGGCATCCGAAGGCGTGGGTCTCCTCACGGCTTTCCGCTTCAGGATGTGGGTTTGTTCAGACAGATCATGGGACGTGTGCCGGAATAACTGTGTGAGAAGGTGACGTTAGGGTGCCTCGAAGTGCTCCGCCTAGCGTTCAACTCTGTTCCACTGTTAATTATGAATGGGCGAGCTGTCAGCTTCCCAGATCGTTTGGCTCACACCGAGGACTTTCCTATCGGTGACCCGGATGGGATGAAACAGCTTACGGGGATTACTCATGGTGACAGCACGTTCCATCTCTGACGCGCCTTGAGTCCACCAGATTTCGCGGTCTCTGCGTAGGCTTGCGATAAGTTTGAGTGTCGTGTTTCATTATGCTCGCTGCTGATCGGAATAGACCGACTTGCCTCAAGAAGTCTCAAAGACTCCGTAGAGCTCTAGGGTGTCGGGGCACGACGTGTCAGACCACAACTAACGAAACCAACGTGATTCAGAGTATTCTTTACAAACGACCAGTGGTGAATAATGTTGTGTGGTGGTTTTGGTTCTAGCTTTGTGAAAGGCCGTTAGGCAAGCTGTATCGGTCTGCTGGTCGTCGTCGTGTCGTGCGTTTGGAACACCAACGGAAACACATGCATAAGTTATCGTGGTTGGATTCGAGTTAATTTCAATAAAGTCATTCGAGATAACGGTCAAATTGTCCATCTATGCTCACCTATACTGATCAGTTCTATGCAATGTAACTTGAATTTGTTATCGGCCACTTCAAATTCTGCATGTCGTCTGGGCACTTGCTCAGTTTATCTTCGCTAGCTACACATTCGTGTTTGGGAACAGATTTTTTTTGTGTTTATTTTAATTTGGGCTGCGGTAGCGGGGTAATGTATCTGGAACGCATCAGTTACGTAACTTCTCCCTTTTCTCCGTTTTTATGGACAAGCTTTGTAGGACTACGCCTCCATTCCTGAAAATAACGTTTCGCGCAAGTAAACCACCATATTAATTCGCATAAAAAGGTTGTTTTTTCACCCTCCTTGATGTTAACAGTGATTCATATATATATTTTTCTGTTATCCAGGGTGACAGTACAATCCGTTATTTCGAAATCACAGATGAAGAACCATATGTGTTCTACATAAACATGCTAACTAGTTCGGATCCGCAACGGGGTATGGGTTGGATGCCCAAACGAGGTCTGGATGTGAATCAAAATGAGATCGCGCGGTTCTACAAGTTGCACACTAAAGGTTTATGCGAAGTGATCCCTTTCACCGTGCCACGGAAATCCGAATTATTCCAAGACGATTTGTACCCGGACACAATCGGGGACACACCGGCATTAACGGCTGAAGAATGGATGGCGGGCAAAGATGCAGACCCGGTACTGGTAAGCAATGGTGATGGTGGCGCAGTGGTTCTGTCGTTGTCACAGGCGTGGTTTGGACCCGATGGTCCGAGGTTCGAGCCCCGCCACCCGACTTAGGTAGTAGGCAGCTTTACTGTCGTCCGGTTCGCGCCTAGCCTTATGTGATCCGCCACTCCAAGTCCCAGGGGTTAGGTTACCGGTTTCCATCACTGAACATCAGGTCCTCTTGGCTATAGGACTTTCCCCGTCGACTGTTCATTTCACGAAAGTGTGTAATAAAAAAAGAATTGGCCATATACCAAAACAGGTTTTATAAACAAAATTCAGTACTGTGACGATATGTGTTGACTGTGACATTGTTCTGTCACCACCTCTCTTATTGAGTTCGGCGAAGGGTGTCCTTCATTTTGAAGGACTGAATGCAAATTGATCATCACACTTGACGTAGCTTTTACGTAAGATTTAATAAATCGAGAACGATGTTAATTGTATCATTGTATCATTTCAACGGAGTATTCCCGTTTGTGCGGAAATCCCCTCCATCTAAACGGTTCTAGCAGAATTTCTCCCCACTGTCAGTTCTTCACACTCAGCAAACCGGTTGCATATTTTTTTATGACAGTCATCTGATGCCTCAGTCTGTTAGGTATCGCAACTAAACCGGTCCTGCTTGAGGGTATCTGTTGCATTTGGTTTCTCTTCTTTGAGCCAATCAATGTAGATACTCGAGATTACAATTCAAAAGCATATCTCACATTGATACTTAGAAAAATTATTTATTTAAGAAGGTCGGAGCGAAACGTACAATTTCGTCTAATGAGTCATTACTAATGTCACGTTCTCTTAGTTCTTTGCAAATTCAGTTTACCTGCATTTGTATCTTTATCCTTCTTCTTCATGGTTAGCCGATCAACGGTCACTAAAACTGCAGCGCGACAGTGCTAAGTTAACTGTTGTCTAATTTGAAACTAACATAAAAGTGCACCATTCGGTTCTGTCTAAATCGGTGTGACTGGAACTTTTTGATGGGTTGCGAGCCTTGTCTTGTTCTTTCGACAAAGGAAAATGCGAACCATATAAGCAAGTCAATAAGATATGCTGAACGACGCTCCGCAGTCTCCACGCCCACAGTCACACTTTGCTCTTATTGTGACTTTAGCAGCGATCAGTGGGATCCACTTTACACTCCGCTTCATGGTGATGTATTGGTTTATCAGGTACACCGTGGTTGAATACGAGAACCCATTTTACGTGAAACGTGGTTCTCAACATAAGCCAGTACACTTCATGATGCGAAATTCGGTTGCTCATTTTCAGCTGGTATGTAATCGAATTACTTTTTTTCCATTTACGAATTATGGTGATCCTGAACTGTGGGAATGTTTTTGAGTTTCTTACCTGTCCCACCGCATGGTAAGACAACTTCATCTCTCGATAATGGTAATCTGCATCCCACTCGTATTTTCACAGTGCTTGGTGATGGAAACAATGAAGTTAGCACCAACAGGTCATTCGTTTACTTTCGTCTAGTTCATCTTTCTAAGACCCCCACGTGATCGCTTTTCCCCCCAGCCTCTTATCCCACACAATTAACAGCTGTTCGGAGCATGAATTGACCTTGACACAATACCTGTTGGATTGGCTGTCTAAATGTGTTGATCGTGGTCTCCGATTGGCACATACGCACAGGACGGGTAAGCATGGTATGCGATCGATCAATAGCTGGTACGGTTCGGCCGATCCATGCTTTACGGGGTCCCATCTCGTGACCCGCACACATTCGGTTCTCGTGCATACACACATACGTGTAGACAAATGCCGATGCAAAGTTGTGCACATCAGGTATGTGTTGCGTACGTTGATTTGCGCACCAGTGCACACGTCCCATTGCCCCATATATGGTGATCTACCTGGGGTTGTTTCTGTACCACTCACTCGCCTTCCGCCCGTCGCATATCCATCGGTTCTAATTCTGACAACCGCTGCCTCCGCTAGGCCGCTTTATACCCAGTCGAATGTAGTCGGCGCGCCTCCCCCACTTCGTCCTTGCAGCATTCAGCAAATCATTTGGAACGACCGTTTGTGCTGCTCCCTTTCTTGCGAATCGTCGTGCACTTTTTTCGCATGACCACACACGCACATACAGGTGTGTTTCTTCACATCTCCGGGCTGTTGATGCTCGTGTTACTGGTCAGTCAGCTGTTCGTTTCGCTGCCATGAAATGACATGACTTCCGTCAGATTTCATTTACCCTGAGCTTTTTTCCATTAACCTGAAAATGCGGTCCAAAATGGTCAACATGTAATTATGCAGTGATTTGTTCACCAATTCCAATGAAGAAAGATTTTGCTTGTTTGCTTAGGTCGTTAGCGTTCCATGGCTTCATTGGACTTCAGGCGTAGAAAATATTCGCCTTTATTAATGTGCTCCATACAACACATTCCAGTGTGTGGTACACATGTTTCAATGAAGTTGGAAATTCTCTTTCGTCCATGTAACTAACCGTAATAATTTGGCGAACCATAAAGCATGCTAGGTGGCAGATCAAAGTTGCTTCCACAACCATTGTCCTGTCAAATTGTATCCATTGTGATCTCTTCATGATCCTTCTAATAATCGTTGTAATCATTATCACCATATTATCACCGACTTACTCTACTTTTTTTCTTTTTCACACCACAGATCTCACTCAAAGAAGGTTACGTCCCAAAAACACGCGCTAAAAACCGTGTCAGCAAGTTGTTGTCAAGTTCGCAACCCACTCGTGCTGGCCAGAAATCTCCCATTGGCGACACTTCACGGGCGACTACCAACGATTCAGCCCGAGCACGTCCAACTTCCACCAGTACCACTGCCACCTCAGTCCCTTCCCGCGACACACACGGTTCTGCGGAACAGTCGGTGCGTGTCCCATGTATTTGGCTTAGTCTGTTTACACACAGCTGATAGCCAAGACCTTTTAACATCCCCCAATGAAATGCTCATAGGAATTGTGTGATTTTTCCTGTAAGCTTCATTGCACAAATCCAACCGGCCTCCGATTTCCTCATTTCCTATACCGAGCCAATGTAAGCCGTGCGTTGTTTTGAGAAGATTTGAATGTAATGTGACTAGCATCATCTAGTTATTGGCGACTGCGATCAGGTTCATCCATCGTGATCGGTGTTTGAACACCGCTGTCCACACAGCATTGCTCGAATCTGGTGGGGCAGCCGGACGAGCAGTGCTGAGGTCAGGCGCAGAGTTTTAGGTAACTGCGGTGGCCCACTGGAGCAGATGGTCGACCTCCATAGATTACGTTGGTTAGGGTGTGTTGCGTATGTTAACAAACAGGTTTCCACGGCGAACAATGTTCACCGAGACAGGTAGCAGTTGGAAAGAAGCCAAGGGTGGTCAAGCTAAGACCTGGCATGAGGGTATGAAAACCCTAATCAGGACACATAGGTACACATAGGTACCGTTAGGCTCCCTGGATGGGGACCTCGGGATGATCGTACCCGATGGTTAGAGACACTGAGTGACATGGCTGAGTGTCGTAAACAGTGGCGCTCGTGCATCTTGTCAATTTCTCTGCAACATAAGTCCACTGAACTTCTAAATTTTCTCTTTGATCCTACTTTCAACCTTTCCCGTCTTTTTCTTAATGTTTATCCAAATGGGCAGCCAAAAGATAGCAACCAAAACCGGCGCACGGTAGTGCATATTTAGTGGTTGTTTAAACTGAAGTGTATTTTCGTCACAAGAACCTTGTTTGCAAGGGTGATTTCTGGATAGACAGCTCTTACAGAGGCAGTCCTTTGAAGAATCAATACTATACTACCTATTATGAAATATTTTATAAAGACGCTCACATCATGTCGGTTGTGTACATTCGCGAGGGCTCACACAGTTAACAGATAATGGTAAAATTAATAGCCTACCTATTCTCAACCTGGGAATGTACCCGGCAACACCGTTATGCTCCAAAATTGTACCGCCACACATACTCTAATTGAATTTTTCAACTCACTAAACAATCGAGAAGCCAAGCAACGCAATCGATATTGCTTTTCCTGAAGTTGAGTTGCTTCATCTAATTGACCGAGGAGTGTATAGTATTCGCGTGTCCAATAACGTTATCGATACCGATGAATTGGCTTGAAGCCCGCAGGATTGCATGCAGAACATGTATGTGAGGGTTTGCTTTCTGAGTGACCTGAACCTCACACGTCACTTCTCTTCTCGCTCAAACCGGGTCATCTGATGTCCATAGCCCCACCCTACCAGTTTGTTACCATCTTTCTCGTGCAATGTCACACACGCTCCAGCACTAAAATATCTTTTCGTGGATCGTGTTCACATTCAGGTCACGGGAACACCGTTCCTACCGTGAATCGTTCGTATGCGATCCTGTGTGTTTATGCACTTGTTTTTCCTCTCCGTCTGGGAAAGAACATATTCAGACTTGAGTTGACCGTTATTTGCGTGGCTCACCTGTGAGGACTTATTGACGAGTATCTTGACGAGTGCGTCCTCCGTTAAGCTTAGGTGTTCAATAGGGATATGAGGCACAATTCTGAAGGTCCTGGGGCCTAGATTGCCGGTTTCCACCACTGAACAGCAGGCCCTCTTGACTGTGGGGTTTATCCCGCCTGATGTTCATCACACTTAGATGTGTAATAAAAAAGCTAGTTGATATGACTGAGTGTCGTAAATGGTGACACCCGTGCATATACCTTCATGCATTCGCTATTTTCACCCTGACAATAATTTGAACATTTCAATCTCCCCTTTGCCACTTGTGATCATATTTGGTTATCTAGATGATGAGTATTGATGATGTATTTTCGAATACTTATCATTGAACCTTTTATTTTATCTATATCCCGTAATTAGTACAGCTGATCAGGTCCATGATTTTTTTCTTTATCTCTTTTCCCTGTTGGTTCTGATGTCTCCACACCAGTTGTTCGCTTCCCTTAGTTTTGGCATTATGATCCGATGAACTGGACACCGCCCCCCCCCGCTGCCTTGCGGGTCAGACTTTAGCTAGCCAAGGACTTCGGTTGTGGACTCTCTAAGAAAATTCACCGTTCACCTGGGCAACCTAACAGTATAATGTCCTCGAGCAAATCATAAACCTTTTTTCTTTTTTTATAAAAATTATTTCATCGTGATTCGTTTGACGCACAACCCGAACTCAGACATGTGAAAATATAAATAAACACAATGCGCAGCAAAATGGCTTCCGTGTAATGTGCGCGGTTTAATGCATTGGACATTGTTCATTTCAAAGACAAGTTGCCCCTTAGTGAGCACCTACATTGGATGTACATTGAGCGCCTAATCACAATAATCCTATTATTATAAAGGTAGCAAAGTTGATATGACACAGTATTGACTTGCGTTGAAATAAATAATTCTGATAGTATTTCTCGTTTCAGTGTACCAGTGATAAATTGATCATGTTTCATCAGCGTTACATTTTGCCTTGTGCTCTCTCCGGTTTTTCATCTCAGAACACCAACGGTACTCATGTGCCCGCTCCTGACGGTATCAATCCAGCCGATGNAGCCGATGTGCAACAGCTGTTGGATGATATGCGAAAAATGAAAATAATTATCAAGGGTCATGAGCGGCGCATCAAGTGCATGGAAGAGCTCGTGAAAATCAACGACGGGAACGCCTCGAAAGATGTTGCCAATTCGAAATAATATACCGAAATTTTGTCGATTTCACACCCGACTCTTTTCCGTTTTTTTCCAATTGCGTCCACCATCCGACTTCACGTTCCACCTATTTACGCTTTACTCGTCATTCATCGCCAACGGGTTTTTCCTCATCTGGCCTCCATTCTTGCCCATTTTGTTTCGTGAAGTCGTCCCTTCCCCCTTTAGTCGATTCCCGCTTCGACCCGATCGCTTATGATGTCACTGTGCTCTGTTGTACATCCTCTCTTCGTTTAGCATTGAATCAGAGGATTAAGTCATAATTTCGTCTCGTCGTCTAGATAGCAATGGCGATAAAACGGTAGACGTGGACAGTGAAGTGGTGGCTAGGGATTCACCTTTGTCGCAGGTTGTGCACACGGCTTTACCTGAAATGCCCACGATCATCTTTTCTTCTGATTATCACCCTGCTCGCTTTCAGAAATTTCCATTTCATCACTCTTGGTCTTCCAGTCCCCTGTATTGTGTGCATGCTATCTGCTTTATAACTTTCGTGCTGCCAGTACGGTTTTCAAAGGACCCTGTTCCATTTCCCGGTACCTGTGTTCCATTATGCTTTGCTCCCGACGGAGCTGACTTTGCAGGTGAGTCATTTATTTATGAACAAACAACACTTACTCCTTGTCTATCTGTACTACTTGCTGGGGCTCATTCTGGTCATGCCCATCGCTTTGTTGCCGCATGAGTGAGAAATTCCTTTTAATGGATAGCGTGTTTGAACAGCTCAATCGTTACCACGCTGTCCTCCGGTTCTTCATTGTTTTTATTCATTCTAAGCAGTTGATTGTGCTCTTAACGTTGCAATACATCGCTTCCCATGCTTTCTTCACGTGCCTGTGTTTTGATGTAACCCATATTGTAATCGATTTTTTTGCCTGTTCGCCACCCTGGGACTGCTATAATTGTTCTAACCGCATGAACATACCGACTGCACTCTGCATTTATGTGCCCACCCGCACGTGTGAACTCTACCACATACATGCACTGACGTGCTCTCCACGGTCATCCCACAAACCCGTTTTTCTTCCAATAAATCGGTCAGTAATTCCACTTCATTTTACTGGTTGCAAATCCCCTTCTCTTTCGAATGGCATGTTTTTATATGTAGGATTTTCCTATTTTTTATGCGGGCTTGGACGTATCAAAAGTGCATCGAAATGTCGTTTCATAATCTATGCTTTCAGCCATATTCGTGACCGTCCACGTCTTGCACCCGTCGCATTGACTACGATTAGGATGACTTCGGTCATCTGAACACAACGTGGGGATTTGGTGAGGTTTCGATGCAGTTCGGGTTCACATTATCCCGGATCACGCGCTCCAGTCCGAGTTCACTATCCACCTCCCTCTCTCTCTCCGGCACACACACACGTTTCCCTTCCAACTCATCCGGGTCCAAGCATCCAGATTCACATCTCGCAAGGAGAATAACCATCTATTGAAGCCATAATTCAGCCCCTTCTGCCTTTTTATCGTTGTCATCCGGCCATTTCTGTTGTCCTTATCTCCATTAATTCTGTTATGGTTTCCGTCATTGTTGTTGTCGTCTGCCTCACAATCGTCTTGATCTTCGAGCATGTTATCGAGACTGTCTCCTTATCGGTCTGGGTGTTATTGTCCACATCAGACTCCCACCTATTGTATGTTCCAACACGTTTTGATCCAGACAATCATCTTATCTTTATTTCTCTACGCGTTTTTCACTTACTATTTCTTCTTTGACAAATTTGCGCACGCCCCGTTTTCACTCGCACCACATGATGCTTTGTGTAGACCAGACAACCTAACCACAAATACACAATCTTCAGGACATTTCTTCATTTCTTTTCCGGTCTTTCCGTATTAGTGCCTGCGTTTGAGCATATCCCGTCTTGTGCGAGCGTTTTTGTGGTGGATGGCCATTTTTGCACGACTACTCGATTTCTATGCACCTCGGATTCAGTTGACGTCTATCCACCCAAATCACCTCGTCCGTTGCTCGCCATTCAGCCCCTCTCCTTTATCCCCGTGCGGCGTGTGCCAACCGTTTTCCGTTCATTGCTTTGATTCGTCATGTCTGTGCTGTTTTTTTCACACCAACACACTTCTCATATCTCGCTGCGTTCCTAAGAAAATAATACCTGATTGAATGGGTGGACAGATGCTCTAGCTCGTTCATGTATCTCACTGTCTCTTGTCAATCTTGTCTTACTAAAGTTCTGGGAGTCAGGTTTCTCGTCTGAAGCCCCGTTTGACAAATTCTTATGTGGTATGACTCTGGTGAACTACGCGTAAGGTTTACTCAGTTTTCGCTCTCTTGCGAGGAAGTACTTTTGTTTGATAGGGGTACACCGTACAGTAATCGAGCCGCTGCCGGTACGACACGTTTTTGTTTGAATAGCTGTGCACGTCTTTGTTTCATTCCTGGTTATTGTTTAACGTCTACCTCGGTTGACCCAGCACTAAAGAAACGAATGAGATTAAAGAAATAGCTGCGAATGTTAACTAGATAGGGTTAAAGAAGTCTGTCTACTGTACAGTAGGAATGGTTCTACTGTTGCATCATGGGAGTATGCAACAGTCCTTCCCGTATATGCATCATACGATCAAGATTTCTCGCGGTTGTTCGTAGAAGTGAATTCCAAGTTCCAAGGACTGGAATAGAGAACTATATAGGTCCAGAGTCGTAAGTTCTGACTAAGCTAGGTGGTAGAATGATCGTTCTTCAGTTAAATGGCCAAACATCGGTGAAGGATCCTTGGAGTGTGTGGCAACTTTTCACATGCATTCAAATGACGTTCACGCAGATTGGTTATCAACTACGGTGGGATTAAAGAGATGTTGAAAACAAATGAAATGTCTTTTTACTTCCTTTTTCTGTTTATTAAGTGTACAAATGCACAGTTAATTTTCAGGAAAGGGGGCCGTGGCCATACAAAGGCTGCCTGGGGAAAATACAGATATGAGGAAGACGGGCGGCGATGGACAGTTTGAACCCGGAACACCCAGGTCACTCTGGTTGGTAACCTAACTACTTGGCCACCACCACTCTTCATGTTGGTTACTCTGTCAAAGCGGCTTCAAGTTTTTCCTTCTATAAGTATGAAGAAAGAACTGCTCCTTGAAGTATACCGGAGTTATTCACCAATGGTCTGAACTTCTTTCGCCCCGGCGTGGTGCGTTGAAGTCTCTCAGAGAAGCCAAGCAAATGAATGCTGAGGACAGCCGAAGATGGCTTCTTACTTTATCCAAATCCTATTCTGAACTTGCAAACAGGCGCAGTACCAACGCAACACCAATAACATGGAAAACAGCATGTCTTGTGTGGAATAAGTGAAGAGCAATGGAAGATCTGAACACACGAAAAACAATCATTTCCAACATATACGGGCTGAAACGCTCGATGATAAGTAGAGAAAGATTTCCCACCCGGCAATCTTCCACCAGAGAGCGGCTGTTCTTCCTTCACGAGTATTTGAGGAGGCATGTATTGCCTGTGAGCGTCCAGTATAGATCACCGGTCAGCTGTCGAGCTGGATGCGTTCTGGTAAAACAGAATGGTCGGAGAATGATTCATTTACTCATCAGTGATGCACACAATCAATTGACCAAATATCAACAGGTTATCAATAGAGAGAAGCAGTTTTGTCCAAGTGTGATAGGCTAATGATTGCTAGAAAAGCAATATCATTAGGAAATAACAGTATGACGCCAATCATAAGAGAACAGCCTTAGAGGAAATTGAGTAGAATAACTTTGCAGAATAGAGAACCGGGATCACCACATTTGATAAAAAATCTCCAGTCGGGTGTTATCACACGCCGAAACATCCAGTGCTAGTTCAAGGATTTAACCTAAACCATGCTGATGCCAATCGCTTAGACTTCACACCAGCACTGGAGTCTTCCATGAAGACAAATAACATCCCCAGAGATACCAAAGATGACAAGACTGCTGCGTTGAGCAGAAGAGAAGAGAAAAATGTTTTCATTAAAAAGGAACTACGAGTTATAGACAAAATGACAAGAACGTAATTGTTCTCCCGGCAGATAACGGAAAATTGACGGTTATAAGGAACAAGACGGGTTACACAACGAAGGCAAAACAGTTACTGGGAGACAACAACATGGATTGGTGGATTAAAACGGACCCAACAAAGAAGACAAAACAAGATCGCTAGAGTGTTGAGCAATTGGGAAAGGAACAGCTGCTTCAAGGCGGATAAATAAAGACGCATGAAACCGTAGGACAGCACAATATTGCGCTTCTGTGAACTCCCGAAAGTACACCAACCGGATGTCCCACTTCGACCAATCGTATCGCTATAAGGAACACCCACGCACTGCCTAGCGAAAGAAGTTTATAAATTACTCGGTCACTTGGCTCGAGATTCACAACATTCTATCAACTCATTGGAGCAATTTCTTTAAAAGATCAAACAAAGTAGATCGTAGAAAGACGAAATCATGGCTAACGAGGAGGCGAAAGGAAAAACCACCGTTACACTGAAGAACCCAAAAAACGGAGTCTCTTCTGTTTTGAGTTTTGTCTGGAGGAGGAGGAGGGGGACCGGATAGTGTTCCAATCTTTAGTTACGAGTCCATCGAGCTAATTGGTTTGATGTCGTTTAACTACGATTCATTTGTTCATCACGTATGTAAAGAATACTACCTGAAAAAGCATGCCTCTGATTTCGATGGAAAACAGAAAGTTGCCAGGAACTGTCACACTTCATATAAACGACGCCCGTTGTTTTACCAACGCGGCAGATCCCACAGTCAGTTCGAGAGAACTTTTCGAGCGAAGAGAATGACCTTGGCGCAAAGAGCGTTTTTGAGAAAGTCAATGAACCAACGGACTAGGTAAGTCAGGTTGTGGTGGTGACGAAAAAGTCCGGGGGACTAAGAATTTGTATTAATCCGAAGCTGTTAAACAAGGTTTCAAGACGTGATCACTTTACTCTAACCATTTTTGACGATATACCACCAGAATTAGCTAATGCACGA